AGACTAATAACAAAAATCATACTATCATTGTACTACAACATTTACTCAAAATACTCACGTATTTTCCTTGGTTCCTTGAAGTGGCACCTGAAAAGACAACATTGGTTTGTTGACAGCCAAAACTCGACGATAATCGAGTAATACGACTTAAATCATCAGAGGTTAACAAGGAAAAGAAGGTAAGCACGAATAGCACGAGCTACTAACATGAAGCAACAGAAAACACACACTGGAAAACACTCTAAACAAAAAAGCTGAACAATTTACGAATGGTCGGAAGCNGACAGACTATTTTCTCACACAATTTTCCTGACGCTTCACCTTTTCGTTGGAAACCGTTTCAAAAACGATAGTTGATCGTTTTAAACGTGATTCCATACTAACCGGATTAGGCTCTTTCCGTTCACCTTTGCGGTAATTCGCAAATGTTATGCAATGTACAAATGAATAACTACCCCTAGTTCTAAGTTTTCAGGATCAACTAGATCAAACTAAACAATTTCGAGGTGATCCACTTGGTAAAAGGCGAAGATATTTCATCTATTTGGTAATGGCAGCGTTTATAAATTGGTTTAAATAGTTAAAAACCTTAGCCAATTTGGTGAACAGAAAAAGTTAAACTATTCAAAAGCATCAAGCAGAAATCCCTCTGGACCATCAAAATGGTTTAGTGCGAGCTCAACAAGGAGCAAAAATAAAAATGGGATCTCAATGGAAAGTACAAAAACCATGAACAGAAAGAACAATATCATGACCTACTGCAAATGCAACATAGGAGCTAATAAATGAAGCTTAGTAGTTAAGAAACCTTCGAGAGGAAGCCTACGAACAAATGCTCGTATCCAAACAAGAAACAATCGGCGAAGGCCCCATTGACTAATAACAAAAATCATACTATCATTGTACTACAACATTTACTCAAAATACTCACGTATTTTCCTTGGTTCCTTGAAGTGGCACCTGAAAAGACAACATTGGTTTGTTGACAGCCAAAACTCGACGATAATCGAGTAATACGACTTAAATCATCAGAGGTTAACAAGGAAAAGAAGGTAAGCACGAATAGCACGGGCTACTAACATGAAGCAACAGAAAACACACACTGGAAAACACTCTAAACAAAAAAGCTGAACAATTTACGAATGGTCGGAAGCGTTTCGTAAATTGGCTTTGGCGATTTCGAAACGTAAACGTTGGCGGCGATTTCGAAAGAGTACCGCGCCGCGAAGTATGCCGCGCCCCAATGGCAAAAACGCGACGCGACCGCGCGCTGGCGGCGATAGATGCTCTCCAAGGCGGTTTGCTCTGTAGCACCACTCCTGTAACTTCACCTGCCAAAGAGCACCATGCTCCCCGACAGCAAAGTGGCTGCGCTAAACAACCGCTTCCCTTTTATCTCGTACCAGTAAACGGGTAACGCGTGCCCCACACAACCGCTTACATAAGATTTGCCAGGGGATGAATATAAATGGTATCGGTGGACTTACTTCTTCATAACTATTTCTCACCATGCCCACGTGACTTTTCACATTCCTGATCGCGCCAACGAGGGACTTTTCGTGGGCAGACGGACAAACTGACACATAAACAGACGCACAAAGTTTAGAGAGTTACATTTAGAGAGATTGGCGATTGGGTGCTTTCAAACCCGGCCGACGGGCATTATTTCCACCGACCGACCGATGCCACGTGTTGGCGGCATTGGACAACGTTGGATCACGCGCCCTTACGACTCACGGGCCAGAACACAACCTATCCTGCGTTGTTAACACCTCGCCAGCAATGGCGTCAGTCGATCGGTTTGGAAGCATCACTTGAGGTGGACGGAACATTGGTACGTTAGGAGGTGCCCGGGGGGGGGGGGGGGGGGGGGGGGGGGGCAAATCGCTCGACGAATAAATACTCGCATGATTTACCGGCCAAATCGATGTGCTTATGAGCAGCCTCAGCTCTGGGTTTCGCCTCTGTTTTGTGCTCATGCTTTCTGTCTTGATGATTAACGCCAAAGTCGTCCAAATCACCACGAATCTCCGGACGCCCCAATGTGTCTATTTCCGGCCATTAAGTTTCTTTTACTCGTTCTGTATACTGTGCAGTGTCTCATGGTCTATTTATTTGGCTGCGCCGTCAGCAAAACTAAGTGTGGTAGATGTGAGACTGAAATTTGTGCTTGTCGCTGTAACTTTGGGAAGGTTCCTTCCCATTGTTCTTTTTATTTTTTTATTACCTCGCTATATCCACACAGGATACAAGGGATCGAATTTTAACAGAGACTCTCGGTTTTCATTGTTAGCATAGTATTGTTCATTTACGGGTGTTCGAACTGTTGTCTTACTTCTTTGAGGGCATATTGGATCTTTAGAAAGAGAGAAAAACCGCCCTCAAAGTGTGCTAGTCGTTAGGGAAATACGATGGCGGGCAAGCACTTTACGTCTTGACTTTCATGTCTTCATACGATTAAGTTAAGGTGCTTGTTTGAGGTCTAATTGAAGAGTAAGCTTTGTCAAGCTATTTTTTAATGTTTCCTCAGAAACAGCAGTATTTGAGTTGTAGGTTCAAATGAGCAAGCTTTTAAGGTGTACCTCTAGTAAACACCTAAAATGTCTTAAAAGCTTCTAAAAATTTGGTTCGTTCAACTTAACACTGTGTAGAGCGTGAATGTATCGGTACGAATCAAAAGGAGTGAAGGAAGTGGTAAGGTACCTCCTCCGACAAGATTAAATCCGTCTTGTCCTCGTAGTTGTCCCTCAACATCGGCATCTGAAGGTCGAGTGATATCTGATTATCCCACTGCCTCTCACGTGAGTGGGCTTCGAGTTGGAATTGTTGTTTGCCGAAACCTTTTGACAGCATCTCCAAATCACAGTGGGTTGCACTGCGCTTGACGTATGCGGCGTGACCTGGTTTCGTCGACGATAGGATCGGGCGTTCCCCAACGCGAACTTTTGACGTCCACCCTTTCGCGCTCTTGAACGATCTTCTCTGAACAGTCGGTTGTTCTTGCTTATCATGTTTGGGTGTTTTTTTTTTGGTTTCTAGACTCAAGCCTCTTAGCTGCACGTCTTGTCCACAGAGAGCATATGACCTCCTCCTTTGCTAGTTTTCAGGTCGTTCTTCACCAATCTAGGTGGTCACCACTATTTTAAGCATTGTTTGACTTTTCGTTTATGCTAATTTGTTTCGATTTTCAACGAATATTGTTCCTAGCGTCGTAACACTTTTGATTTCAGTTCAATCCTTTTTGGTGCACTTTCCGTCTACCATGATTGTTCTCATGTTATTCCCTATCTACTTTTTCAGCTCTTGAACGTCTACTAACGGCTGGAATTTTCAAAGAAGATCCGCTTATTCCGGCCAACACCCGCTCATGACAATGACGTATAACTGATCATTCTTCTTTTGGTAGCCTCTAATAACTTTTCTTACGGTCTTAGAATTAGAATTCTTTAGAACAGGGCTATGAATTTTCTTCCTAGCTTCTTTCTCTTTGGTGTACGCACTAAAGACAAGGATTCTCTTTCCTTAATGACCCTTGACCTCTTCAAGGCAGCATTTTGGTACAAATTATGAACCACTAGTCGGAGCTTCACCCATTTTAGGAGTGCTCAGCACAATTTCTGCGATACTTTCCTGACCTTCAGACTGTTCAGCATATCGAGCATATGGATTTATGCAGTAAGTATCGCCCACATTGAGAATCGCTGATGGGTCTCCTTCATTTTTTTAAGCCCTGCTCATCTTTCCCCATTATTGTGGGCTGTTGCGAGGCTAAACTAGCAATCGAAAGGGTCCCAAGTCGATGTGACCATTTAAGATTAGATTCAAACTGTTAGATGTGTTTTCGGATGCTGATCACGAATAGGCTTTCCAAATTCGCTGAAAGATTCTATGAACAGAGTTATTACTGTGATTTTGGAGAGCACTCATCAATATAAGCGAACACCAAAGAAATGGATGTTATGTGATTTTTAGCAGTGGCTCGGAGCAGTGGTAAGACTAACGTCACATGTGCGAAAGGCTTTGATTCGTTTTCAGATGATTGCTGGTTTTTGCATTTGTATTGTTTTTTCCTTTCTGGCGCTTAGAAATTTCTTTTATTTTAATGGAGGCTTGGAGCAATGGTAAGAATGACGAACGGTACTTTTATGTTGTTTGTTTGATTTTGATTTTATCATTTTCTACGTCATTTTGCATGGTAATTCTTCATAGCGGTTCTTTTCCTTCGTAAATTATAGGGTATCGCTTCGTTTTTTTTTTGTGAGTTTATACGCCATATCCAAAGTAGGACAGGTCTCATCCCTTCATGATCACTTGCGACATTCTGGCACAAAAAATATTTGTAGCAGAAAAGTTTTTCGCATTGAGAACTACATGAAACAACAATAGAAAAGATTTTGTCAAATTACGTCGTGTCACTCACCGAACTATAAGGAAAACAGGATTAGGTAGGCATTACAAAATCACTGGCGTGCGTGTCTAGCAACCGGCTGTTTGGGCCCTTACCGGGGTGATTTCGAAATGCCTACGTAACTCAGACTCTCACAAAATGGTTCGCTAAATTTGGAAAGCAGGGTCGAGATCAGCATCCGGAAACATGCATAGCAGTGTGAGTTTTTATTAATGTTCATTTCAATATGAGATCCTTTCTTGATAACTTCTGCTCTGAACATCTCTTTTCTTGTTGCTTTCTCGCAGATGTAGTCCTACTGAGCTCATCTGTGCTCCGCTGTTCTTGTCCTATACCTCACCCTTGACCCAGCTGGTTCCTAACGTAATACTGAATTCGCTAGAGAATGACCGAACGAGAGAAACAGGCAGAACATCTCATACATAATAATGATATTGAAAAGACCTCACTCCCTGTAATATATTATTTCTGTGCTTGTTCGAAATGGTAACAAAGCTTCGCCACTTCTTGTTTCTGTTCTGAATAGACCTTTTGACTCAGCTTTTCGTGCGGTTAGCTCGAAAGTCATTAATGGTATGTCAAATTTTTTCAGCATGATACCAGCTTCTTGTAAAGTTCATAGTGCCTGCTTCAATGCTCAACAAGATGGCTTCTCGGTGGCCACTGATTCGGGTATACGTTTCTTCAATGCACACCCACCTGTATTGTTAAGGAGCTTCAGCAGAGAACAAGTTGGAGGAGTTAAGGTGAATCGTGGGTACCGGCTTGCTTGTTGTCTGTTTGTTGTTTCTATTTGTCACTACTTCTAGGTTGTCGGTATATTCCATAGGTCTAATATTATTGTCTTCGTTGGTGGTGGAAGTTATGCAAAATATCCTTCGAATACGGTTATGGTATGGGATGACAAACAACAAGAATTAGTCATTGAAGTAAGAATTGCGTAGTTACCACTCATTTTTTCGCATGAACTAATTGAGCAAATTCCAAAAAGTCACCTCAGTATCTCGATATCTGTGGATTGCCATTGTTCAGGCTTGAGATTTTAGGGATACGTCACTTGCACCAAATATTAGATTGCCACATATCGAACAGAAAAAATCACGGAATAAGTCATCATTTGTAATTGTTTGGGTGAAGGTATTAGAGGGTGTTCAGACTGTAAGGGTGGAAAGAGGGTAAAATTGAAGCTTTAAAGCAGAAGCAATATCAAAATCGTTTGTTCTGGCAGAACGAACGATCTGGCTCACCTGACGGTGCTGATGATATTTTGAAGGTGTGCAATCAGTGGAAAATGCATTTCTTTCATTTTCATTTCAGATTTCATGAGCTTATTGTTAGAGGCCTCGGATTCATTGCAACAAATAGACCTAATGCCGAGCTTTCCACTTTATGATCGAGTTGCAATAATGAGCTGAGCGAGTTGTTTGATTGGGCCTGTGGTAGACTCAATACTCCGATAGCCTTCGTAATCGTAAACATTGGCACAACGAACAGCCTTTGATGTTGAGTGTGGGTCAATTCCTGTTTACTGCCCGTGGCAATGATTCATAGTCAGAGAGCAAAAGCCAGAGTTCCGTCTCTTCACTGAGAGCGATCGGCTAACAGAACAAAAGCTTCACCGACATTTTCAGACTCAAGAAACACAATAAGACCTACCTGAACAACATGCCTGCTTCCCAGGAAAGTCGGTAATGTTTGAAAAGGGTGCTGTAAAAAATCAGCCAGTAAATTTTAGTCAGAGATGCAATATGGCAAGAAAATTCAAGGTGATTTATTTCTGAACGGTTTTGTATATGTATATTGCAATACTTCTATACATATATAGTATATGTGGTTTATATTCTCTGAAGGTATCCAAAAATTTTGATATGCATTGTGTGAAAAATTTGTCATCCGAAATTTAGCGGTTTCTTCGTAGCTTCCTCAAATTTTTTGTTTTCGTGCGTGATGAGAAGGGAAAACCAGAATATATGACATTCCCATTCCTAAATGTTGACTCTTTTTTTGTCCGTTAAGTTCACTGTTGCTGGAGGACCAGTTCTGAACGTGTTACTAGCGTACTCAAAGCTAATTATACTTCAAGAAAGGAGAATTCATGTCTTTCAATTTCCGAATCCATGCAAACTTATTAGAACAGAAGAAATTCGGTGAGTATCGAATATTTCAATTTCGCGTTTTCTCCAAATACGACTCTCTTCCTAGATATAACCCAACTGGACTGGCCGCGATAGGTTGCGATTTCAACGGTGCTTCACAAATGTTGGCCTATCCAGGCTTCAAGGTTACGATTTATAATCGGACATCATACCTGTTCTTATTTCGACCTCATACGTTTGATGTAGTTTCTTAAATACTAAATCACATAGATTCAGGTTGGCAGCGTGCAGCTTGTATGCTTGAACAACATGAGCGAATGTGCTTCACTTTCACCGCGTGGCATTGACGCTCATCTTACCGAGATAACTCAACTAGCACTGAACAATCAGACGACCCTTCTGGCTACAGGTTCAACTAAAGGGACCGTTATCAGGTGGTTTTTTGCTTTCTGAATTAATGTTAATTCTGGTGAACTAAAAATAAACCGTTTTGAGCGTTAACTATTTTCAAGTACCTCATACTTCATCCACTCTTGTTAATAGCATTGGACATATCTTAGGATTTTCGACGCTATTTCTTCCACTACTCGCTGCCTTATGGAACTTCGCCGCGGAGCAGATCCATGTACTCTTCATTGTTTGCAGTTTTCCCCTTGTTCCCGATTTCTTGCAGTTTCTAGCGATAAGGTTGGCATCCTTTCTGCCTTGTATTTGGATCTTGTCGTGTTGTTGGAACCCCTTTTTTAGGGTACCATTCATATTTTTTCGATTAGGGAATCAGAACATTCCAAGAGAGGCTTATTGCACAAGGTGAGTAGTTAATTTGTTTGCTTATTCTTACCCTATTCAATTCCACCTTTCGTTCAGGTCGGCTTATCTAAGGGAGAGAAGCGGAGTTCTGTACAAATCTCGCTAGAGCCGCGAGTCCTTGCGTGTGGTTTTATCAGAGGTTGGAAGTTCGAGCTTCTCATTTCAGAGTTCCATTTTTGTTCATTTAGTCGTTGAATGGAGGTAGTGTAGTGGCGAGTGGCACATTATGATCCAAGGAAAGGCTTTCTGTTTGGTATCCACTCCGGCTCGTCCTTCGATTGGTCATTTGGTACCAGCCTAGTAAAAAATCAACTGTGTATAAAATCACTAAGCTGTAGATTGGAACAGCCATCGCAAGTCACTACACACATACGCATTCGAAAACCACGATTCTAGTTAGAAGTCCAATGTAGTTTCGCATCGCGATGTAGGTTCGCATCGAAAACGGGATTGATTAGTGCCAAACATTTAACCCTTTATTCCTTATTCATTCGATATAAGTTAATGTACCTTCAGTGTGCCTCTACAGAACTTCAAATTAACCTGGTTCAATGCAATGGTGTGCTACAGTAGATTACATGATCTCGAACAGGTTTTGTAGAATAGGGATCCAGTTGTGTATCAATTGTAAGAAGTGCTTGGTTCATATTGTTTTTTAAACATGTATAACTAAGTGGCGTGATTCTTCTCTGGTATACTTTTGGTCCCCCTTCTTCCGCTTATGTGAGATTCAGGGAAATCCGTTACATTTTTGAACACCCTGTAAATTTTTCCCAGTAATTGTAAAGCGGTAATAATTATGTTTTACAGCTTCAACATCCTCCATGCAGTCTTTAGTTGCCATTTGTCAGGACGGCTCTTACCACAGGTATTTGATCTATCAAGCTCTTTGCATTCTTTCCAGTCCTTTCAACCTGTCTTAGCAGACTCATACTCAGATTCTCTTTTGGTGCCGACGGCTCTACGAAACGAGAAGGTTTTGATTACGTGATGCAACTTGGCGATGAGCAGGAGTTCTGGACAAGACCTTTTTAACTTTTCATTCGGTTCCTAACACATACTCTCAAAAATTTCTCAAAATTTTTGATAACCAAACTAACTAACTAACCATCTTCATGAGAATCTTTTTCACTATATTTTTGTAATTACACACTCCTCAACAACTATTACTCTGTCACGATTTTGCCATTTCATGTAATTACCAGCTTTTGACTTCCTAAAGTTTTTTTGCAGTCTTCACACAAATTTATCAACATGGCTCCTCGAACCTCAGTGCTCTTGAGCTTCTCAGCCTTTTGATCGAATCTATTTTGCTCGTTTCTGTGATTTTGCCAGTTTCCCGCACTTCTTCAAAGTTATCGACGTTTCGACGTTTTTTTTTTCAGTGTATATAGTTCGTATTGGGCAATGTAACAAAGATTGTACATACATTCTGACTCATAAACTTATAGGGTATATGGGCCATAGAGGTTTTATTCAGCCGAGTTGTCAATCAAAGTCTTGTCAAGCCTCGAAGAGTAGCTCACATTTTCGGACTTCTAACATTTCTACTCGAAAGAATTGTGGGAAGATGGCTCCAGTGAATGGTATAAGAGAACTATCAGAGGTATGTTTTTGCGTTGTGGCTAGCCTATGGTTTCCATCCTTCACGATATGGTAGCGACAGATTCTCTCAATTCAAAGTCATTGTCCACTGTTCCACATTTGCGCATTCGCATTTTGAAAGGCTTCACGTTAATAAAGGTCCCTGAGATTTCTCCCTGAGGAGAAATGAATGTGCCTAAGGGGCGCTGACGGGTCGAAAATCCGCCAGTATAGAGGGGGGGGGGAGTGCGTTATCCTTTCAGAGATCTTTGTGCACGCAGCAACGCGTAGCAAATTACGTTCGTGTTTCGATGCGATCACTTCAGCAGGCTTTAGCCCTTTGACGACAATGGCACCCACCGATGGGTTCCACTATGTCTGTCTGACGTTGCCACCCAATTTTAGGAGCCATTATACTTTCTTGTCCCTTACCAGTTGCTGAATTCAGTAAGCCAGTAAAAGAAGTCTTTCCTCGGGCAGTGCCACCCACCGGTGGGTGCCAGTCGCGCGCGAAAGTAGGGGAGCGTGGTCCCATGGGCGCGTCACGTCGAAATCTGCATTGTCGTCAAAGGGATAGGGAGATGGACCAAATGAGATGTGCACTAGTCCATGCTTTCGCTTGCCAAACGTTCAAAATAAGACTAATATCAAAATATTTCGGCCTTCTGTCAACGTGCATAGTTGATCATTTTTTTTACTTGTCTTTTATGATTTCCTATTTCTCCCATAATTATGGTGAGCATGGTGTTATAGCACGTCTCTTCCTTTGTACCGCGCCTCCTCCCGCGAGATGACCGCATTATACTAACGCGTGAAACGCACTCTCAGCCGACGTATACACCAACTTTTTGAGGTGGACGAGTTTTCAAGCGTTGAAAGCCGCAAACGTTGCACTATTTGCACCGCGATCCCTCCTTGCACGAAGGCAGTATACTGCAACCAGCTGTACGCAATGGCGCAGTTCGAATACCACTCCCATGCAACTTCTGCGGGCACATTATCGTCCAAACAAGTTTTCTAGTTTTACTTCTTTTTTGAAGCCTTAAATTTCTCTGAGCATATCGATTTCGCGTTTTCTTCGCATTTCTCGCACTATCCTGGACTGCTTCCATTATACGTATTGCATACCTAAAAATTGTCGTGAGCTGTTCAATCGCGTAAGTTCCTTTATCGGCAACTTACGCGATTGAACTTGGAAATGTGGGCTTCTAAGCCCCTTACTAGTCTTGTCATTTATTTATCGTTTATTTATTTATTTGTTCTTTTTTCATTTACTGCTCTTGTGGATTGTGGAAAAGCGAAAACGCGGATTCGCTACGGGATTTGGTACGTAAAGCCTAGCCGACTTCGCCTTCTTGCAGCGCCAGGAATTCATCATTCGCGTAACCAGTATGAAATCAGTGATCATAGCAGAATCCATGAGTGCGAGTTTACGCGTTTGCGCGCCTCGTGTTTAGATGTTCGTGCTGGTGGAAAGCAGAAACATCTAAACTTCCCAAATTTCGCAAGTATGAATAATACCTCAAGCCTGTCTTATAGGAGCAGTTGGCAGAGGCTCAAGAGATACGGGCTAAGTTTCGAGATGATGTGTCTAAGAAGATGGGTGAACTTCTTTTACGGGGAGTTACGATGCTCGATGCCTATTGTCACATCTGCGATGTGAGATTTCAAGTCCTATTTTGTGATGGCTGCCCCTAAAGAGAACCGATTTTTGATCTTCAGGGCATTTTGATGGAAGATCGTAATGGAGTTCGTAGATGTGTTACTTGTGAACTACTCGAAGAACACACAAAAGAAGGATCAAGATTAGTTGCGGAAGTTCCGCTAGGTAAGAAGCTGTACATCATTACTTCAATAGCATTGGCGATCTAGTTTCGAGTAATCTAGCGTCTTGCTTGATTTTGTGGACCAGGCGGCTACGCACGCTATTGCGTGCGGTGGGGGCTCTAGCTGTAAAGGACGGAGCCACATGAGCTTCTGATTTTCATTATAAACCCTTGTCATTTGAGCCTCTTCCCTAACACTTCTGTAGCGGCCATCATTCTTTTTGGGGTTGTGTGTGGCCATGAAGAGTACTCCGATGTATCTAGATCAAATACCTCTGCAGTCCATGTAGTCGAAGAAACTGTGTGTTTGGGTTGTGTGTGGCCATGAACAACAACTTTGAAACCTGCCGACTTCGCCCTTTTCTAGGATTTGACCACATTTGTTGAAAGGAAAGCTCCTTTGGGTAGTTGCAGGGACTTACACGTTTCTAAAGGGTATGCACCTTTGTGTTACTCTAGAACTTATTTGATGAGGTCTGAAGTTAATGTAGTACATTTGGACTCCTGTGTGTGGAACCATGGATACTAACTTTTAGAAAAATTAGCCCAATTTTTGAACGAGTTTAGTGGTATCCCCTGTCATTTGGTAATTGTGCACCTATGTGATCAGGAATAGTGTGAAGGGAAGATGTATGAATTTCTGACCTCAGCCCCGCCTTCATCTTTGCAAGCCCCACCCACTTCAAACTTCGAACCACATTACTTTTATTACCTCCAGACGCCTTTTTCCCGCTTTCTAAAACTCATCTGAAGAGACTTAATAATTTTGATGTAAGTCCCGTCCACTCCAATGCCAACTCCGCCCATATCTGGGAACTACATTTGTTCTACTACATGTTACCACTTTTTTCCTTTATTATCCCAGAATGATTCTAATTTCTGATCTAAGCCTCGCCCATTTTAGTGCCGACTCCGCCCACTTCTAGGATTTGACCACATTTGTTCTTTTACACTTTGACACCTTTTTACCTCATCCCAGAACGTTTCTGAACATGGTTCTGAATTTTTGACCTGAGCCCCGCCGACTTTAGTGTCAAACCCGCCCACCTATCGGATTTGACCACATTTGTTCTTTTACACCTAACATCTTTTGCCTAATCCCAGAACGCTTCTGAGCAGAGTTATAGATTTTTGGTCTAAGCCCCGCCCACTTTAGTGCCAACCCCGGCCACCTCGGGGATTTGGCAACATTTGTTCTTTTACACCTAACACCTTTTTGCCGCAGTCTAGAACGTTTCTGAACGAAGTTACACTCATTTTTCAAGAGCGGCTTTCGTCTCAACGCACGCCCCGCCCATCGTGCGTCTGCGCCTTAACTGAATCGAGTTATGAACACATCCAAAAAGTACCGTTCATTTTGAGAAAGCTCCGCCCACAGCATGTGGGTTTCCTCCGTCTGGTTTGTTGACCCAATCCTCACCTTAACACGTTGACGACGAGCCAATTTTTTCGTGTCTGTCCCGTGGGACGACACAGTTTCTTTCATGGAAATTTGTTATTTCTCGAAAAAATGAGTGACTACATCCAAAAACATTTGAAATCCGCAAACCTTCCAGCATATTCAAATTTTGCCCAAGTTTTGCGGCTACTCGAAGTAATTTCAAACTTGGCGGTGTTAAATTTGAATTAGGGGTATATAAATAGGATCTCTTGGAGTACTAATATCCTTGCGACTGTTTATGTCATCATGAGTGTCCCGGATATTGAGATGGAAGACTCAACGAAATTTTTGACTACGGCTGCTCGACAGCGGCGATGATGCTGCAGGTGGTTTAGACGGCGACGATATGGATCCTGTGGTTGATCCTGTCTTTAATTTGTATTATTCTTCTTGGAATTAATTTAATAGGTGGCCGGTGCTATTTTGGACACTTATAAGCCCAAATTGAAAATCTGCACAAAAAACGGAACGAGCACGCACACTTTAAACGAAGAATGCACTGTCGCGCAGCATTGCGCGACATCGTCCCATGAGACAGACTGGCTGTCGCGCACCATTGCGCGACATTGTCGTCAACGTGTTAATACAGCTGTCCCTTATCTCTATCAAAACTAGTGTTTGGCAAATGAATTTAAGAGAGACGTTCAAAACCATATATTTGGTCCTTACGGAAAGACAGTGCTCGTCGAAATTTCGCTTGAGACCTCTATCAAAATTTTACCGGGCTCGCTTCGTTCCAAGTTGTTCATCAGTCGTACATCTGGAACGCTGTTCCTTCTCATTACCATGTGCTAGGCATCTTTTGTGGGGAAAAAAATCGTAAATTAACTTTATCTGAAAACAGCAGTCAATCACTACTTTGAGTCACAGTTTCTTGAATTCTGAACAGAAGGCTTCAGTGACTTGCTCAAAGGATAGGAAAAGGCTGTTGATCTCTTTTGTGAATGTATTCCAAAATTTGATTGGTCTGTAAAATACTGGAAATAAAATTAGAATGGCTTCCATTTTGTCGCAAGACTTTCTTGCCAACCAAAATATATAAACATAAGGACCGTGAATAACGACTCCTGATTAAGATATTACATCATTATTCAACAACATTAGTGTGGGTTTCGGCCAACGAGTCAGGTTGCTCAGTATTAGAAAATCCCCCGTGCACGTGGGTCTAAAGTTTGAGTCCCTGATAGGTGGCTGCTGTTTAGATCAAGAGCAGCAGATCGGGGTTTCGTAACCTTATCCGTGAGCTTAACCTCATATTCAGCCCAGTTGCATGGTTCTGTGTATGTCGAACTCCACTCTCTTGGGACTACGTCATTATGTAGACCCGCGTGGTTCAGGTTCATCACAGGAAGGAGGTAAACTCGGCGTTGACCGGACAATCGTATTGGTAATCTACATAAATCTCCTCCATTCAAGTCCTTTATTTTATCAAATGAGAGCTCTTTTCGCTTTTTCTATTAATTTGTCAGCCGTCGCCGTCGTCAACCTCAGCCAGGGAACGAGCGAACTCTTAAGCATTTTCAAGTCGTGACCGTGCAACTTGCAAGCCAGAGTGCATACGCGAAATGTTGGATCTTAAGGATAAATACAAGAAAACACTTGTACAGTCCGTTTATGCGATATTCAGTGAAAGCAAAGTGGGGACCGATTCAAGGCGTTTTTCGATTTTTGACCACGTTGCAGCGCTCGAGTGGGGTTATGACTAGAAGTCATGCTTTAAATCGAAGCACTAAGTCGCCGTTTATGTAATTTACAACAATTCGAAGACAATGTGTGCTACCAAATCGGAGTAGTTAGGTGTTAAAAGGCGCAGAATCAAGTTCATGACCGTTACAGCGATCACAACTCACAGAAATTTAATGAATCTTCTCCAGTACTCCATCTTTTTATTGTCCGCTGAGGTTTTTGTGAATATGAAAATATCTGCAAAGTCAATACAGCATTCGATGAAATTGTTCGACAACTTGAGATTTTCTCCAGTTTAGATGCAACGGCTGATGGATTTACACCGGGAAACAGCGCACTGTCGAACGAGTTGCCCGTCGAGCAGGGCGCGGCATGTTTCTCGAAAAATTTGCCTGTCAAGCAGGATGCGGTATGTTGCTTCTACCTCCGCGCAATTCTACCTATTTCCTATTGGTATGTTTCTTGGCACTGAAAAGGTAACTTGTTGAATTGTCGAGTCAAAAGGCGGCTTAGTTGGGACACAACAAGCGACCGCTCAAGAGGGAGGATGTTCGGCAGCATCAGAAAAGCTGATATCATGAAGTGGGGCATATCTGTCACAAAGGAAGCAGCTAATAGCTAAAACCCTTTGCTTAGCACCTTTCAGAATCCGTCCATATACGAAACTTCGTTAAATTTTTGTCTGCAAATGGCCATTCTTTGATATTTTTGCTGATTTCCCCACTTTCTTCGCAACCGAAAGAAGCCGATAAATTGTTCGCACGCATACTAACTCCCGTTATGAGACTCAGAAAGTAGAGGAAATTGCACTAGGAAAAGATGAATGCTGCAAAGCGTTTTCTCTTCACGTGGTTGACAATCAGTATAAATTGCACGTTTGGTGTTGCGTAATATGGTGCCATAACTGAGAAGATAAACAGAAGTAGGAAGACCCTTCTTATTTTGAACATTCCTTCTTAAGACGTTATACCAACTTTTTGGCATCGAATTTTTCGTTTCCTTTCAAATATCGTAGCGATCCCTCACAAAATTGTAGAACCTACAACAAGATTAGTTCTGGCTCATGATGCATAGATTAATTTTGCTGTTTATGCTCATTTTTTAACTGATAAACTTGGAGCGAAAGGGTCTGGAAGATGCATCATTACCAAGTAAGCGAAATTTGCTCCAACTGATGGCAAGCTCTTTTTTAGTTAAAGATGCTTGTTAATTCGTTAACCGACACTAATAAGATAGGCAGGTCTTCTTTCTTAACATTTCAGGAACCACTTCATTGTTCTGATGGATGCAACGTCGCATTGTTGGCTATCGACCGAAAACTCAGGTGGTTGGGTGGTAGAATTGATCAAAGCGAGAACCTGTCGGAAATACGAGAAATGTTTGCACTTGTTCGCGAAGGGTTGAATATTATTCGACATGCGAAGACCGATCGTGAATGATATCGAGAGAAAATCATAGGTTCTTACGTAAACTACCAGCAAAGGAGTACAGTGACTGAATTGAAGAAAGCAGTCGGGTGTGATGCAGGTCTTTTATTATTAGGCTCGAGTAAGGCTTAATTGTTATCTGTTGGCTAATTTACAGCTTGTTGGTTAAATAAAAGCTTTTTTCTTTCAGTCCATGTTAAATATGTCGATGTCCTCGTTATAAAGTCTCTCTCTTTAACAGGTTCCCATATATAATACTTGAAGGTGCTCTACGCTCGTTCCTTACAAGGAGAGGATACCAAGTCGTAGTGGCCATTTCAGATGGGATGTATACCGATGTACTTTCAAACGCCGAGCTTAAATCTGAGTTCTAAATCTGCGAAACGATTCTGGGAACAAAGTTACGGGCCCAGTTTCTCTAGGTGTCTTGAGGTTGCTTTTATACGAGAACCAAGCAATGCAGTCCAGAACCCTTCTTCATATTTATGGAGCACCAGAAATGATAGTACATGTAAATTTTTTCATTGTCTCTATAGGCCAATTAGTAGTGCACATACACCCTTCTACTACGAGCACTCAAGAGCTGTTACGAAATTCCGCAGAAACTTATGCTGGGGTGGTTTAGATCGTGCGTTGGTTGGATCAACGAATTTGCCGTCTACCCTACTGATCGTCGGCTCATAGAGCTCGTTCAAAGACCATGAAGCAGGGTGCTTTGCCAACTAGCAAGGCGGTGGAAGTACTCAGCTTTCCACTGATGCAACCTCTTAAATTCAACCTCTGGATGTATATTTTCTTCTAACCACTGAAGCCAAGTATAAGCGTATTATCTCTCTCATAACTGCTTATGATCTGGGCTTCCGCATCAGCTATCGCAACTTCATGATTCACTTTATCTCACTAGTGTACTTCTTGTTTAGCGCGCCTAGATTCTGAAAATTTCGTTCTTATTTTTGCAGCGGTGTACCTAGATATGGACCCGGGAGAATTTGAAACTCCTGTACAGTGTTTCTCATCTCATCTGAACGGTAGCTGTCAGGCTGATGGGTGAGGTGAAATACTTTTTACTAGTTGCTCACATTGTGAGAAGCTTTTCTTTTTCAAATACTATGTTGGATTATCATATCTGTTCATAAAATGCTCACCTATTGCTAAGATAGTATTTTTGCATAAAAATGACGGCTGGATTGTACCAGCTCACTTCTATCCATGGGAGGGCTTTACTTCATATTAAAGCGCTATGGCCTGTATGAAGCACTAGAAGAGGAAATCGGATACAATCAAGGGATGTAGAAGCTCATGCTGGAATACAAGCTTTGCAACTATAATGCCGGAAAATAACCCGGTATACTGTAATCTGAGTGTTAAGAAGAGTCATAGGAGATGGAAACAACTTCCCTGCTTTTCTTTCTCAGTTAAGTTTCTGCATTACCCGATAACAGGTGCTTTCTGTTATAGGCTCAGAGCAAATCATCCATGCTTCGCCGAAAGACACTGCTCTTCAAAAAATTTCTAAACCATTCTGATTGCTTGAGTAGCTCAGATAGATGAATCTGAAACAGGTTAGATTTCCTCCATTTAAGATAACCAGTTCTCAGTTTGTTCCATAGTTATATACCACGGTGAAACAAAACCAGGAACAGATTTTTCAAATGAAGTGGTTTCAAACAGTAGATCATACCAAAGATCCGGTAAAGTAAGCAAATTTGTGGGGAGTGAGGCTTATCTCAGTTCCCAACTGAGGTTTTTTCAAGATAGCTACTATACTAGATAGCTACTATAAAAGATTTGCCACATTTCGCAAAACGAACGTGGGGAATCGGGGAGGAGCTCCGCCATCCGTCGATCGGCACTTCGTTTAAAGTACATCTTGGTCCTTCTCCTTTTGAGCAACTTGTTCGGACCAACAGAATTGAGCGGCTTTTCCCTAGAGGTAATGCCAAACTCTTCCGTTTTGAGAGCTATTTCAGGTAACTAGGCCTATTAGTACTGTTTTTGGCTCACGAGTGCCAGGCTCTAACGAAGAGCAAGGTGAACTTCGGATAGCTAGCCAGGCTCTTCCGTAGCTTTCAAGTTTCTTAGTTATCGGATTCTGTCTCGAATTACCTTTTGGATACTTCCCGATCACTCGAATGCGAAATTCAAGTTGAGCCTATGGAGAGGATATAAACCGCAGACTCAGACTCGCCTTACACCTATGCATTGATATATCTGGGAGGATAGAGAAGGATATCGCTCCGAAAATACAGCAGAGAATGGTATCGTCGTCTACGACGACGATCCGATCCCCACAACCACCTCGTCGTCTCACTGTCTGAGACGACTCTCTCTAGCTGAACCCACACCCCTAAAGGGTGCGGGGTCAAGCGGCCCCGAGATAAGTGGGTGCCTCACTTCTACCTCTAACAACGTCAAGGGCAAGACATAGGTTGTGCTATTAGATAAAGTATTATTTGCCATTATTCTACATTTTCAATGCGGAAACGTCCGCACTTATTACATTACTTCTTGTGTTTTTACTCCGTTACCATCGGAGTTATAAGAAAACCAGTGAATCGCTAGCACAAATGCTAGCTAACCCCCTGAGCCCAACTGCGTTGGCAGCTACCGGTGACTTTGGTCTGCGATATACTCCCTTACAGGCCGCGTAGACTGGGTCGCACCACGTAGACTTCTTACCAACCGGACAGAGTTCCTCTAGTGAGAGAGAACCCTCAGTAAAAAAGATCCGTTCTTTCATAAAGTGACAACCGCTAGATCAAAATTTTTTATATTTTCAATTAAAACCAGTTGGGCTAAGCACGCCTACGCGTGCACCACATGCTTACCACCGCTTACCTACGACTTCTGGGTGTGGTGCGATTCGTGCGATTCTGGGTGCGCGCGGCAAATTGCGCGGCGAAAGTCGGTGCGAATCGAACGACTCAGACGCCTTTTATTGGGGCACAAACTTGGAGTAGAATAGTTGGGTATGGTCAGCTGATCCTACTAATCTACACTGCTTCAAGTTTGAGCTCCAATAATAGGCGCAGGAGTTGTTTGAATCATCGCGAATTTCGCCGCGCTATTTGCCGCGCGCACCCGGAATCGCACGTCCCCCACGACTTCTTAGAGGACCATTATAGACGGTATCGGTCGGCTTCCCATTTCATAACCGTTTCCTCACCGCGCTCACGTGACATTCACTCTATTAATCGTGCCTACGTGACTTTCGGAAGGACGCACAAACAGCATACAGACAGATACGCAAAGTTACCGCTTTATATATGGACAATATTATTAAAGCTTACATATATCCTTTCCCAGTTCTAGTTTTATAGCCCTTCCTTTCATAAATTAAGGGCCATAAAATCTACACTGAAATTAAGGGCTGTAAAATTTAAAGTGAATGCATATTTGGGAAGATGAGAGCGAAACTCTGCAATCGGAGTTTACGTTAGCAGGAGCACAGCTTGTTAAGAAATGATCAAAAAGCTTTCCAACATCTGACGGGAGGGATTTGATACATGTCACAACTTTCCTCTGTGCACGATAATGTGTTCAGACTAAGAACTCGATGGGTTCGTTACTTGGCTTGACTAATTTCTGCGACCCATGAAATCCTTACAACCTTATTTCTCACCCGATTTATCAGGTTGTGCAGAAGGTTCAATGACATTAAAGTCTTCGCTCTTGACTAAGGTGTACTCGCACCTTCGTTATTTTCTGCATCGTCTTGCCGAACCTGTTATGCCATCTTTCGAGGCCAGTGCCTATGTTTCGCTCGTTCGCTGGACTCAGACATTCTGCGTTGCAAAATGATATAGGTGGAAACTCTTTTTACAATTGCTACATAATCCACGACTAGCGAATTAGCGACTCTGCTCAGCACGAAAAAGCGAAAATCAAATGGCACATACAAAGTGAAATTAGAAAAGCACAAGTACAATAAATGATGAAAATTATGGAAGCGATGGGAAAGAATACAGAGGCGCTCAAATGAGAAAGAATCGTCTTAAACAATATAGCGCTCGGGATCGGAATAAAGACGAATTCACTTTCAACCAACATGATATATCTTAAATGAAAATCAGTCAAGTGAGCTGACTTAATTATGGATAATAAAGTATTCGTACGAATGTGAGAAATCTTTGAATTCTACAGAAGTGAGTATGGAGAGTGCAGTTCAAGTGAGACTTTCAAAGAAGGGTGACGTAGTTGGCCGGAAACAAGCCGAAATCGCCACTTGGTCCTCGTCCACGCCACCAACCTGGGTCTACCTGGAAACTGATCAACAATCATCATAATTTACAAACCTTGGTGTGAAATAATTGAATCGACCACCTTAATGTTTACATACACATGGGGAAGTCAAAAAGTTGAAGACACTTGAAAAAGAGATGAAACTTACTCTTATTTTCTGTGTACCTTTCCCGTACCGACTTCAATGAACTTTTCTCAAAATTTTACAACGCTCATGATTCGGTGGAAGGAAAAGGTTAGATTGCATCCGTAACCAATTTTCCATCCCACAATCAGTATAGACGTTTACATCGGTCGCCGAAAAAAAATCGGAACTCGGTCTTAACATAAAAGCTGTCAAATTTGGCCCCCGTTCGTTTCGCTTTTTCCTTGGTTATAAGCACGTCGTCCGCAAAGTGGAGGTCAGACCGAACTTAACGAAGACGATATTCATGAGAAAAGGATTGGAACTTGTTGCTGCCTCTACGCTGAACGTTGGCAGGGCGACCTTCTTTCCAAGCCCTGCCATGAAAAGGTAGCGCCCTACCAAACACGTTGACAATGACTTCCTTGCAGAATGGCGAAGTTATGGTGAAATTGTCGTAAAGCTCACAAAGCATCATTACGTATTGAGTAGGAACACTCTGGTTTATCAAAGGCTTTCTTTAAATCGATGAACGTACAAGGCGGCATCTTGTACTCTCGCGATACTTCAATGAGCCTTGTAAGAATGGGGATATTATCTATTGTGCTGAACCCTCTCCGAAACCCTGATTATTCGCATGACTGTTTTTCATCAAATATCCCGCCAATGTCTGCTTTCGTAGCCCACGATTTGGCCCGCGAGCAATCGAGCGATTGTAGCGGCGTTTACCCGCGATATCGACCAGGATTCAGTTGCAAACAAGGGGCAAGCGCCGCCCCAATCGTTCGATTGCTCGCTCGCTCGCGCGACAAATCGAAGGCAGCCATTCCTGTTGAGAATGACCCCTGAAGAAAAGTTTAGATTACAGACAGCCAGCACATTGGGCGATAATTGCCAATCGCTTTTACCGCATGAAGAGCTCAGCCAGAGTTTTGACGACAACCAATGGAAGACTAGTCACTTGCTTTTGTCTGATCCTATCGGTATGCGCGCCGTAAATTTTTCATCGACGTGATGGCATATCGAATTCCGGAAGGGAAAACTGAAGGAGCGATATGTTACGCAGGCAACGTGGCTGTCGAAGAGATCCGAATAGGGGCCGTAGACCCTCTCCATTGCACTTCGAGGTGCAGTAACTAATTCGTCAGGACAACGAAGGGAAGTCATGATTGATAGACGTGTTTCAGTCGTGTTATGATAGACGAAGCTCTGAGTTTTGCGAATGCTCTTTCCAGCCTCGATGACTTCGTCCATATCTGCTGCTCTTCTCTCTCAAATCTTTCTTTTTCGCTTCTCTACATAGCTTTGCAAGTACGAACGTTTGTTGATGACTACCTGTAGCTCGTGTGATTTCATGCAGGCACACCAGCTCAAGCATTATCAAAAAGAGACTTTCCTTGTATGCTTATGGACTCTCTGCTCTCCGACACTGTCGTGGACATGTTCGACAAGCCGGTTGTATTCTTTATCGATATTGTCGACGATGGAATCTTTCCACCGACTCGCAAGGGAAGCGAGGTGGTCTCAGTTGTTAAAGGTGTTGAAGCCTCGTTTCCGGTACTACACAGCTCTCCCTCCAGGTACTGTGAAACGAAATGACGATGATCTGATCTCCCATGGAACATTAGAACAAGAGCAATTTCTGTTAAGCAAAGTTCCATTAAAAATGATCTATTTAATTATGCACTCCGTCAGCAAGTGATTCCCATGCTCATCGCAAATGAGGAGGCTTCTGTTAGTGCGAATAACCATGGCTAGCGTAGCACGACGTGATTAACTCAGACAGACTTTCACCAACTTCATTCCATCCCGCTCCGTGAGTCCAGATATGAGCTTCTCAGCCATTCTTATGAGGTTAGTTTTGGCGTTGAAACCTCATGATGACGTTAAGGTACGGTTCACGATAAAAACGGTTACTGAGTCTTCAATTAGGGATACTCATTACTGAGTCTTCAATTAGGGATACTCAGTGGCCCAAATGGGAGGTAGAAGGGTCCCTCTCGCTCCCAAAATCTCGAAGGGTCAGGGCATAGTGGAAGTCCTGTTGCTGTCTTGAGTGGCTTTCCCACCTCTCGATCGGTGTCACGTCAGGCGAGTGTCGAAGCAATACAGATTGCAAATACTCGTTCTAGGACCCACACACAATCACCTGATCGCCGAGTGATGAGGCGATGTTTTCTCCTTTTTTACTTTGTTATTCTTTTTGCTGCCGCGATCCCTTTTTTAATTTCCTATCCCAAGAGGCTGAAAAGGTGAGCTATTTTTGCTGTAACTAGGGCTTTTTTTATTTATGCTTGAAAGCGGAAGAATTTTTGCTTACGATGTCAGTTCTTTGCACCAGGACTCACACGTACGCTATGACGCACTGTGCGTAGGTCGTCCAGGCGTCCCATTCTCTACATTCTTCCGTTCTCATTCTCGTCCAGCCCCCTTTTCAACAATTTTTCGAAACCTTTTTTCAGATTTGGAAACACCGATCCACGCAGTTCCTTCGCCTCCTATCACACTATTTTCCATCTTCTCTTCCATTTTTCGTCATAACCTGGGTTACTCAAAATTATCGTGAGCTGTGCCTTCAGAGAGAACGTGGTCCTCTCTAAAGAGCCTTTCTAACTCCATGTAAAACGCTTCCAGCTGAGATATGCAAACCAGCCCGTTTGTAATACTGCTAGACGCATTTGTACCATTTGCGCCGCCACTCGCCTACCGTAATCGACGTCTCTTTTTAAATGATTTTTTGGGTTTCCCGACGACTGCGGATATTCAGGTTAGTTTATCTTGGTATTTTGATGACATAATGGACTTCGTTTTCGTTTTTAAGCTCAAATTAACCGTTTCCAGTTGGCTCTGCTGAGTCGCACTGATTATGAAGAGAACAAAGTTCTAGGCGCCAAGATTAGAGTTAACATATAGTTATAACTACTTATAACATATAGTTAACACATATATAACATAGTTAAAATTTAAACACTTTATTATTTTGAAAAATTCGAGCAGATGAAGAGCAAACAAGCTCAATCACACAGACCANCATATAATTGAACAAGAACAACGCAATGTCACACGGCCTTGTCGCTTTCAAAAACAACGAGGTAGGTAAACCGTTGCGGTAACTAATACCGTAGAAAAGCATCAAAGCATCCGGGAAGAAGATACCGAAAACTTGCCTCGCTCCTGAGCTTGAGCAGCCATATGAAGGGGCATAACCAGCCCACACCATAGAGCGCTCAGCTCAACCTTCACTCAATGAAACAGCTCAGGCATTAGATTACTTCAATGATTATGTAAAAAGAGCCCTTTCTGTAGGACCGACAGCCAATGCCTTGAGATTCCCCACACTGGTGTAGCCTCCAAGTCGTGTTACCTTGACTAGATGACAAAAAAGACCTAGAAGTCGCCATGATCTATAAATGATTTCCACAATACTCCCTCTAACGTTTTGGGCCCGAGCCCAAGATTAACTTCCCAATTAATCATGAATTAATGCAGATGCGCTTCGGAAAAGAACCGCTCGTCTTCACACTAAAATAGCATTAACTAATTACACTTTTCGGAATGTATTCGTTGTGAAAGTGCACTAAGTGATAACCTGAGAAGAAAACTCTAATCACTATCTATGAAAATGAAATGGAAACAGTTAATTTGAGCTTAAAAACGAAAACGAAGTCCATTATGTCATCAAAATACCAAGATAAACTAACCTGAATATCCGCAGTCGTCGGGAAAACCAAAAAATTATTTAAAAAGAAACGTCGATTACGGTAGGCGAGTGGCGGCGCAAGTGGTGCAAGTGCGTCTAGCAGTATTACAAACGGGCTGGTTTGCATATCTCCTTCCAGCTACTCTTATTCGTGGCATGATGATGGTGTATAGGCAACGAAGATAGGTAGAGTAGGATTGAGCAACATCTTCATGATCGCAAACGTCCGGTTTGGGTTGTCAAGCCTTCGTACAAATCGATGTTCACGCCCAAGTGCGTATGACGAGGACACCTACGCGGGGGCGGTCAAGTCGTGCGTCCGATGACGCGCGCGGCAAATGCGCGGCGATGTTAGTGACGATTTGAGACTCTGGCGCCAATTTTCAGGGCACGAACTCGAAGTAGACCAGTTTAGCAGGGTCAGGTTATAATTCTAATCTACTCTTCTTCAAAGTTGGGAGATCGTCGTCTTGCCAATAGCCCTTCTCCCCTAGGCAGCCTGTTTTGGCTAAGAGATTTTAGTTGCATTTTTTTGAGCGGCTTAGCGACGGTTCCCATATGGCGGATAAGGGAGTGAAAAGTCGACCGAGAGTGGCCGGGACCTTCCAAGAGACCCAGGTGCATTCAGGAGATGGATTCCTTGTTTTTGTTGTGCTGAATAGATATACCTTCCGTACCTTCCCGCATCCATGCACACGTGTGAGGAGAGACTGCGGGTGCAGCTGGTATCCTGCCCATGGTCTCACCAAAAGCTTACTTCGGGTGACTGGGAAGTATACGGATGGCGATTTGGAGCCGCCTCCAAAATCAACGCCCCTCGTCTACTTTGGGATAGCCTGGCTGGCTAGCTGGAGTCAACCCAGCACCCACGTCAGGGCTTGGCAAGCTATTCGTGGGTGTCCATATGCCAAAAACAAAAATATAAATTAAAAGGGAGCTTAGATTTGAAAGAAATATGTTTCAGCTGTCTATTACAAAAATGTGCACCTATTTTTCGATGTCCCTTTTCTTCTTTACTTCATCAAATCAAATTTCTGAGCAGAATCACTCTTTTCAGGGAATTGCACCGTGAAAAGTTCATGCCAGTCACTACAATGTTGATGTGATAGAATATACTCTGATACAAAATTCTCCATACACGCCTCAATAAGGCTGGCACGTAACCTTCACAATTAGGAAAAGGTCTGCATCATGTTGGATAGCGCGAGCCCACTCCTCCACCAGTTAGCAAATCTCACCCTATCTTCGAATATAGAGGTTGAGTTCCGTGTGTGGCTTAGCAGGCTGAATTTTTCGGACAATCTGCCTGACCAATTTTACTTCTACAACTGCATCAACAGCAACTACAAACCAACTAAATTGCATTCAATCAAAGCTCACATTCGTTGTTCATAATCCCTAGGAACATGCTAATCTTCATCGGTTCTGCTTATTTATCACCGTTCGGATCAAGCCCCCATTGCGATTATCCTATCGCTTTTTTAATCACTTCGTGATATCTTACTGTATCGCTTATTTGTGGTACCCACCTGATCAATCTCCGTAATGATATCATCAGGTTCGAAGGAAATTTCCGTGCCATCGGCTAAAGTGAAATCCTTTCAATAATAAGAGAAACAATCACAGAACAGTTCACAAATGACAAACCAACCGGCTTGATAATCCCATAGTGCTCTGGCTTTAAGCCCACCGACAAGAGTGAGTGGCTGTTCGTTATGTTGTGGTATTTCATCAGCGGTGGCAGCTTTGCTGTCACCTGCTGATCCAGGGGATGATGTTTGATTACATGAGACACGAGGTCCCTCCTGAGTGGCACTGTTTGGAGTGCTGGCTGAAATAAACAGTGTCCCATCACATTCAAAAAACCTGCTGTCAAACACAGCTTGAGATCAGATGAAGAACCGTCCTATGCCCCTCTATATATACGATACTGAACAGGGTCACATCATGATGCTTCGAATTCACATTTAGCAAAGCTGTATGAATGGTAGCACATCGTTAGTCATGGTTAGTACCGACTACTATAAACGAGCTGAAGTCGCGAAGACCACTAGGTCTGTAATGTCCTTTGTGTTAGCAGCGGAACCTTGGCGCTCCAGTAGATTGCTGGTGATATCAAGGGGCCGTAAATGATTGGTGACAGGGACTGATAATAACCAATGGGAGTTGATAACGAGGCATAGAAGGCGCAAGCCACAAGATCTATAACGCCATTCGGTTAACAGTGCAGCCTTGGCACTTTCGCAGGTGGTGTGGTAGCCTCGAGATCATAGGTACCCGCTGACAGGAACCGATACAATTGATAGAAAGTATAACGAGCCAAATAATGTGAAAGCCACAGATCCTCCCTTCGTATTACCAGTGGAACCTGGTATTTCAATACGTGATGTAGGTTGTGACGGAATTGTAGCGACTTGACGTTCTTGTTATCTACTGTTGTCACAACAACTCTGCTATTCTTACTTGATCTTTCTGACGTGACTTTGGCATGGTAAGTTTGAACGATATGGATTGAAAATATTGACTTTTAAGTAGGAAGCTGAGCGCGGTGTGGGTTACATTCTGAGCATACAGAACAGGGGCAGTATTCGCACAACCATACACTACTGATCGAAATTACCTATTTCTATGGGTTAGCGTGCGAGTGCTAAACTAATGAAATCGGTAAGTACCAACCTCTAGTCTACTTCATGGACCTGATAGGCTCAGAGCCAAAGAAATAAAGAAAGAAATAAAGAGATGCAATGGCCTTCTGAAAATTAGTATGAACGCTCTCAAGTTGTACAGTGACTGAATGTGGTGACTCATTTCTCGCACCTGTCTCGTATCCGGACTCGCTGCGAGAAGCTGCCGAATCGCATGAATATATTTGGGTTTGCTGGGGCGACACTGCAATTACAACATGAATGTAATTCCTGAGAAGAGGTGACAACGACGTGTGACAGAGCTCACGGGATGATGCTGTAGGAACTGATGATTTCTCCTTTTCGTTATGATGCGACACTGCAATTGAGTGAGGGAGAGCCGCAGTCTCTAGAAAAGAAACATGACTTATATACTCAGCAACGACCATAAAGTTAGTACCTTTCTGTTCGAATATTTCCTTTCGATGGGAATTGAGTTTGTTCGGACTTCTAAGCAATCTTTCTTGAACCGCTTTGTGTTGGTCCACATTGTTGGCTCCTTGGTACTGCTGAATTTGGTTTGAAACAGGTTGGATTACTTCCTTACTTCAATAGAGAATGTTTCTCAGCTTCCGTGTCCTAGCAACAGAGAATACCGTTCTAAGCTTTCTTCAGTGTACACATGTAATCAGAGATGAGCAATGATTACTTTCTAGCTTTCTCTGCTTTCATCTATAGGATAGATAGACCGAACTTTCTAACTTGGCCACATAGCTCAAATGTCAGAACTTCGTATGGAAACGATTAGCCAGATTCAAAGGTTTTTTGAAGACCCTATTTCAAAAACACTACCGGTACCGCAGTCGCCTGCAAAAAAAAGAGCCTGAACTCCTACATAATGCGACACGTATTGAAGTGAGGCACTCTGAGGCATCAACGCGGCACTTTTCTTTCTCTTATCAGAACTTTACTTCAGCAAGAGTCTTGTTCCTATTAATTATGATAGATTTGAAGGTCCACTTACCGTAGGTGATGAAAAGGTGGGAGGCAATTTGGCGACTTCCCTACGAATGACATCTGGCTCGACGTCAATTTCGCTTCGCGCATAGATGGTCACGTGTACTTTCTTCAAGTATCGCCGCACGGCATCAATGTGCGACGTTGTCGCCGCCACTCGAGCAGACGGCACCCCCTCTCCTTGCTGAAACATGGACAGAAGTCGTGGATGATCACTAATATGTGCGAATCCACTGCGACCCATTTCCACGGTCAGAGGTCCCAGCTAATCTTAATCTTTGAATAAGTGATAAACTTACTCAAGGAATACGATCAGCTGAAATCACTTACCGGAAAGTATTTCGACGTACCCAGTGCACAAGAACAATTTTTGTCAAGGCATTCTTCTCAGGACGAACACCGATCACTCCATATTGTAGTCTTCCCGAATTGAAACTTGTTGCGAATTCTTCGATACCATAATCTGGAAAGTCATCCGCTTATCAAGCAAAGAGAGCACGAACAGACGTAAAACTTTCCAATCGAAATGTTTCTTCATCATAACTACGAGTTTTGCATTAGTACAGTGTAGATGCTGTGATTAACACGGACTTTGTCACAAACTTTGCTAAGCGGGCCCTCCAGCCGATGTCTTTCATGGCTGTCATCAATGACCGCAACAGCACGAGCGCTTAGCTAATAACGAACATTTTCGTAATGAGCATCTCTTCAAACACTCGCTAACATTCACGGTCTTGCTAGGGCATAGCGCTGATTAGCTATTCCTTGCAATAATTGATAGCGTATGGTTTGATTGTAACTTTTTACATAACCAAAAAGTTTAGAGTTGATTGGTTGGTAACTTCGGGATCGCAACCTGAACAAAATAGGCAAACAAAATCGCGAGTGAACAAGTAGCTCACAAACCCAGCCTAAGTGCTCATTGCGACTAACAAGGAAGGTCTTTCAGGGCGTGGGACGCTTTTTTAAAATGGTTTTTTGCATGGTATAGGGGCATGAGCACTGAGTATAAAACTATGGTCCATTTCCGCTAAATGGCCTTCTGAATGCCAAAAAACGACTGAAAACGATTTTGTCAGAAATCGCCGTTTCAGCCCACTCAGCGTCGTTTGTTTCATTCATGGGGTCGACTGTCCGTACATTAGAAGGCATCAGTTGACTGCGCACGGAAAATAACGTGAAAGGTATCCAAAAAAGTGGGCCACATGTTGAAAAGTGCGGGGAAGTTCATATAGGTTCTCCACGGTTAAGCTGCCAGCAGCGTCGGATGGTGTGGTGGATAGCGATCTGGGCTTCGAGGAAGGACGACTAGGATGGGCTGATAGTTCGGGAACTCCAGGCTTTGCCGTTTTTGCATTTTATGCTGCCACCTCCAAATTGGCTCCATATTGCACCAGGGCCAAAGCAAGTGCCTGACTGGTATGGTCGTGACCAGGACCAGCCAGGCACACCCTCTAGTAACCGTTAGACTTTGTTGTGTGAAGCGCTATCAGTGGAGCAGCTTCCAGGCTCAACACTCCCAGTCCTCCGTTCCTACCCCCGAGTCCTCCTTTCCTACCTCCTCCCCTCAACTTCCTCACGTAGTTTGTAGTCAAAAAACTCGATATCATATCATCTGGTCTTCGGACGTTGTATGGACATTGCACAGTCCATACAATTAATGCTATGGACAGTAATGGTTTGATTGTTGTTTTATTTCGACCGAATTCCTTCGAAACTGATGAAAGGCTCATCTAATTCCGATGATTTCACTGTTTTCTACCCTAGCGTTGATCTCGCGCCGTTGAAGGATTTTTGTCCACAGTTCTGGTTGGTCGTCTCCATTTCCTTCTCNTCTCTCCCCACGATCAGTCACTCATCTACCCAGCCCTTCATACGGACGCGAAGTTAGGGGAGGTCGTAGGTTGGGAACGGGTATCGCCGGAACCCTTCATCTAGTCATCATCTAGTGATCCCGGCGCTAGAATGATTTCCTTAAGGGCTGACAGCTTTTTATATCAAGCCTAATGCTCATGAATGCTTCAGCAAGAAGATGAATAGAAAGAGAGTCTGATTGGTTCTCCCACAGGAGTCCGTGGTGGACGCCCAGAGGAAGGTCGGAATCGGTAATCCTGTTGTCATTGCATTGACGAACGAGGTCGAGGACAGCTTCCATCAAATGGGAACCGTATTATAGGTTCGGACCCCCCATTACAAACTTATTTAGTGTGAATTCAATAGGCACCTTTATACTCCTGGAAGTGCAAAAAACCATGCACCATGCAAAAAACCATTTTCAAAAAGCGTCCCACGCCCTGAAGGACCTTCCTTGTAAGACGTTCGATACAATGCTCTCACTCACAAATCCTGTCCAACCGGTAGAAGAACTTCGTTATTAAGAGTACAAAACAGCAGTAAAGCGGTAATAACTCATGATTCACTGTAATGAATTGAAGAGGGAACAGTTGAGAAGTCGGCTTAAATTGAACTCATTGCGATTTGAGTAATTAGCTTCCAAATCGATTTCTCTAGTCGGAAATCACTCTGCTCCCGAACCATATACAGTGCTTTTCGAAGTATAAGTTCACCATTCAATCTTGCATTTCCAGAACAGGTTGGCCAAGCAGATACATTTTTAGCACTACTATCAAAATCACCGCCTTGAATGACCCCCACGTATGATCCTCGGCTGAATGTCTGGTAGGATAAAAGCACAGACTTATTGAACGTCTGGGAACCGCAAGTCATTGTATAGGCCACATACGCACTCATTACGCCACTACGATTCTGAATGGAAGTCGAACGCGAGGGCGCATCCCCTCAGACGGGATTGATTAATTCTCCAAGACGTTATCCGTCATGAAATCTAATTGTTATCAGCAAATACTACCAGACACTGCAACGGTAAGAAAATGTGGACGGGTGGAAAAGGCGTTCATTTGGTACACTCCGAAAACGAACTGATGTAAAACGAGCCAAATTTTTGAGCAAGGTCCGCCATGATTGTTGAACTTTTTTTTTCGCCAATAACGCACTACTCAACATCGACGCTTCCAATGTTGAACCAAACAGTCATGAATCTCCTCATCTTAATTTGAGGCTTCTATTGAACATCTCTACATGTTTCACCATTCGACTTCCTTCACCTTCTCAAATTGATTTGATGTTCAAGCACATCTCAAAAAAACAGACCGCCTTATTTTGAAGCGGTTAGGCAAGAAAAAAGGAGGCAGTCCCTTCACGATCGATGGCATTCTATCGAAATAAAAACTCATAATTTCACCAGAACCATAATCACATTAGAACGACAAAGAAACCTCCTTCATCTCCGACTTTCAAGACGTTTGAAATGCCATCGTAATCGAATATAACCCTGAAAGATCACTAGTAAAGTAGTTGATATTATGTAGATTGAGGGCTGTTCAGACCTGAACTTACCATTCTTCATTTGATTCGGACGAAACGACTCGATCATAAGCTGACTGTATCGCTGCAGCGTGCTTTTGAAAATTTAGCGTCATCGATGTCAAATTAATTAGATGCCATTTGCTTCTGAATTTACCTAACATATAGAAGGCCTTGAAGGGAATAAACGGAATCATGGGACATGAAGTCATCGTCTTCGATAGAACGTGAAAACTAATCGCATGGCCTTTATGAGAATCTAGTGCACGTCAACAAGAACAAAAATATGATCATTACCGGTTAACCAAAGGAAAAAAAGATGCATCATTTCGCTGGCCAATGTTATGGCGACTTTACGAAAACACGCCCTTCGAACGCTGCATATATTCTTTTTGCAGCGACAGGAGCAGAGAATTGCGTCCGAGAGCTCTATGAGCATGTGTCCAACCGAATTAGAGCAGTTTAAAGATCATGATGATCGCAAACAAGGAAAAAAGAAAGGCCATTGTGTTGATAAAGGGCTGCTTTCAGACTTCAACGGCGCAACGGACGAGCGCGCGTCCGACCAACGGTGTTGATGGCTATGTGTTGACAACACTGAAAGCAGATGGATCACGCGCCAGTAATATCAACAAATGGCTAGAGCCGCCCTCGGTCGGACGCGCGCTTCCGGTTGCGTCGTTGAAGTCTGAAACAGCCAAGCATCCTTTTCTACTACCAGTCGGACCCGATTCAGCACTCAATTTACTTACGACATTATGGAACAACGTCTAATAAATGACTGTTTTCGGCCATGCGGAGGTGATGTAGTGGCAAGTGGCGCACTATCTCACACACACGGCCAGGGGTTCGAATACCGGATCGATACCCGCTCAGGCCAACCAATCCTTCCATACTCCGGGCTCGGTTAATCGGTACCAGACTCATCTGGGAGGATAAAAGCACAGACTTGTACATCGGCCCACCGCAAGTCATTGTGTAGGCACCATACGCACTCATAAGGTCAACGATTCTGAATGGAAGTTGTGTGCAGGGGCGCACCCCTCAGACGGGATTGATCAACACCAAAACTTCAACCTTTATCCTTCATTTTTTGCCGTCTGTAAAGGTTTTTTTTAGGTAGCGACACAATTCATAACATGTTGAGTTTTCAAATACGTTTTCGTCCCACAGTTCTACCACTTTTTACCCCTCGTTTTGACGACATTTCCCAAATTCCGCAATCACTGCAATATTAACTGACAATCACTGCAATATTAACTGATATGGTTTCATACGCCAAGTCTTCAAGAGCAGCGTTTCCTCTCATCACCTCATCTATCCCATGTGGAGCAAAGGATGGGGACGCAGCCGGCTCCAGAAAAAACCTTTTTTCAAAGGGATTCTGAGCTGAACATTTTCGTCGACGACGAACTTCTGTAAGTTGTAATCATTCTACCCCGGGCATTGTGAGGGGGCTAGAATGAACTCGCAAAGAACAAGAATTCTTTCATTTCTTTCTAAACGAGAACGTTCCACCTAGTCCCTGATAATAGACATTCCATTACCCACATTTTTATTCATACATTGATATAGTAGAACGCCTAAGCTTCCCAACTTTTATCCTAGTTATTTGGTGCATTAAAAACATTAAAACTCAATAACGAAGCAAAAGAAGAAAACAAAAGTTGTAAAAAAAGGTTAATATGATTACAAAGAAAATCGAAAATAAGGAATACAATTGCTAGTGCAGACGAAATAAATCTCATCCATACTACATGGCATGAAGAATGAAAATGCGTAATAAACAATGCTCAAGATTGGAAAAACGATGCCCCTCCCAACTACTTTTTCACCAGAGTTAGTCACTTCACTCAGATCAGAGATTCTCACTGGCTCATCGCAGCTATTTTTAGACGAAATAATCAAGAAAAGTGGCTGATTAGCTGATGGCTAATATAGGACCCTTGATATTATCACCCACAGATTACGGATAAGGGAAAGCGGCAGCACCAACCGCGTAATCTGAAGAGCTGGCTTGAATATTATGTGAAAAAGTCTAAATGGAACTGGAAAAGGGTAACAATTGAATGAGAAAAAATGATAACCCTCAATGAAGAGTGCTGCCCGACGTTGTTGCATGCTCTTCACTCTTAAGAAACTTCATATAAGCAATTTCACGGCAGTTCTTAGCATGATCTTACTGATCGTTTCCTAAATTTCTCCTTTTTGAATTTTCACCATTACCTCTTGCTAGCTAGGCGTCAATAAAACGAATAAATTTCCATGAAAACCTAGTGCCAGTCCGCAAAAAGACACCGGCACGATGATGAGTGAGAGAGGTCACATGGGCTCGGAAAGAAGGGTATTATGAAGGAAGCCTATAAATTCTGTTTTTTATCGTTCCCCTGATGAACACCGGTCAGTTTGTGAGGCCATTAACTTGAATTATGACTTCGCTCGTTTTTGTCGCAAGATGGACCCTGTTTGTTTCTTTTCAATCACAGGGCGAACGAAACTTCAGAAACGGGAAGGATAGGGTGAGAAAAGCCCCCATAGCGCTTGGCATTGTGATAGCGTTTGTGTCCTGCTTGTATGATATCAGGATGGTCAAAGACCGCTATGAACGGCGATTGAGTTGAGGTTAAACAGACATTTCAATGGCACTCTTCCACTTTGACGGTATAGGCATTAGCCCAGTACAATAAACTGGGGAAAAATCAAGTAAAAACAGAGGAAAGAGGAACTAATTATCAATTTTATACATTTGAAGAAACATGCAAGAAAAAGTAGTACATAAGTTCGAATCAGAGTTCAGTAAGTCAGCGGTGAGCGTAACGATTAAGAATTCAGCATCGAGTGACGTACAACCGTGTAACACAAGCAAATCAGGGTAAGATCCCTCATTTTTGGCATTCAAGTTGTCGCTCAGAGACGGCCTCTGATAGTCATCGTAACAGTCAACAAGCAACAACAATCAAGGCCAAATATATGATTATCGAAGGAGATAGTGAAATTCGGCGAATCACTCAGCTTCGTCCCTTTACTGAGCTTTCCCATAGCCGATCCATGTCATACCCATAGCGGTGGTCAGTAGCATAGCCAGCTGATGCGCGTCCCCATCTTGGGCTTTAGTCCCAAATTCTAATGTTCGGGCCTAAAGCCGTTTCGCGCCTGATTTTTCTCAAGGCTGATTTAGCCGGAATGGATGCATAGGTGTATTCACCCTCTAGCGCTGGGGACGCAAAAAGCAATGCCATTGACTTAACATTATCCCAGAAGCAAATGACTTCAAAATAATTAAGGCTGCAAGCAAACTGTACATAGTCCAGAGGAAGCAACACAGACTACAATCCGAAGCTAAGAAGCTTTGCTAAACCGGATACAAAAGCATTGTACAAATGGGAGCATACGGCGCCATCGCTGACTCATTGCGTCGTATGCATAACTCCCAGGGTGGGGTAAAGAATTATCAAGGGTGCGAACGTTGAAATGGCCTTTTTGTTTTGCCATGGGTCAGATAAGTGACGCTGGAGCAAGAAGTTGTCGCTTCCAGTACGGAACGAGCGATATTGGGGTTGTTTATCTAATGATTGTGTTTTTCGCATAAATAGTCGGTACTTGGAGTTAGAGTGGATCTTATTCCCGAGAAAGCACTCCAGAAAAGAAGGAGACTTTACCCCAAAAACACTCAATGAAGTAGTAGATGGTTAGGATGTTCTTCGAAATGCCCTTGGAAGGTTGTGGAAACATTGGGATGAGCCCCAATTGTCGCGCACCTACGAGCAGGTATCTTGATTGGATGAAGAAGTTTTAATTTTATCATACTGTTGTCATATCATCATTAAGTGAAATGATTCAAGGAGCAGGACAGTAAGAAAGTGAAGCGTTTAGAAAAAAAGGGTCCTAAACAATTAAATTTCTATAGCAGATAACAGATACCAGATAAACAGTTGGTATTATGGTTACTAGCTGTCAAAAAAGTATCAAATACCATTCGTCAAAAAAGCTAGACTATTTCACACTTTTTACAGGACTTTCCGCGATCTAATGCTCAACTCAGCGCCATTAGGAGAGGTACCATATGCTACTTCGTTGAGCATTCTTGGGTTCCTTCGATTGTCTGAAGAGTTTTATCGCATAAAGAATCACCTCCCTTTCAAATTTCGTTCTGCCTATCAGAAAAACACTGCCTTCCGATACCAATAACCCCTTGCTCGCACTGTAATGGAAGAGTCAACTTCTCTGCTCCAGCGGCACTTATGTGACCCACGACAAAACGGAAAGGGCATTTGAACCTTCGCGCCTTTCGCAGTCATTTCTTTGGGGCGATTCCACACTTCCCCACCCTGGGCGTCATGCATGGATTGTTGGTGTAGGGACTTCATGTTTTTTTGCCTTCTCTGCGTCTTCTATGATAGGCATCTCCCCTTCAGGAGTATGGGACGCAGACGGAAGAGCTCCCCATCCTTTTTGTTTGTTGTTGTCTTGAATTAAATGAATAAGCTATAAGCTGCTTGGAAATAGATTGCTGCAGATCTTCAAGCGATGTACATCTCATTGATCACTCTGTAATGATGAAGTGGGGTACATCAGGAGAGCATTGATTTCGTGTAAGATAACATAGTTGCTCTATCAATGCGAAAACTTTACGCGGGTGTTTGGTTGGTACTGTAAAGAAGTTGAGGCCTCATGTTTTGTCTTAATGTTTTGTTTACTGTTGTTATATCGCCGCAGTACGCGATGCGAAAGTCTCAGCAGACGGAAAGCACAAATACGAATTCGAATCCAGTCCGAGACTGAAGTGTTGCCCGTACTCACCAACCTTGTGAGATCAGGCCTCAACACTCAAACCTCGAAATGTGACCAATCAATAACAAATTATATTCCATTCAACCGCATTTCCACTCTTTTTCTCACCCTTACCAATTTCAAAAACAGTCCTCTTAACTCGGTACCGCTCCCCTTTTAATCGATTGCGGCGAAAGAGTCGCAATCGATCAAATTGAAGGAGAGTACGGCAGAAAACGTGGACACGCCTACTTGGTGAATACGAAACGCACCGAAAAAAATTCGGTTGACAACAGCCCGATGACCACCGATTTGTCGTGGATGGCGTTTGCCTGCCCAACGCAGAGTGTCCCGTTTCTGTGTTTACATTTTCATATTCTTTTATTCATCTCTTGTCTTTTTCGAAAATCAAGTCGAATAAACAAAATTGCTTTCGAGCACATAGCAGCAATGTGATCTTTCAGATGGTCGAGAAAAAAGAAGAGGAGAAAAGGCGCCGATCTCGTTCAGCGTCTTCAAGTAGCTCTTCATCATCTGGTAGCTCCTCTAGCAGGTAATACGCGCCGTTTTGTTTTTTGGTAGTTCGGTAACCCAGGTGTGTTTAGTGAGTCGTCGGGTTCTTCACGCTCGTCGAGCAGTTCAAGTTCGTCTCGTTCTCCATCACCCCGTAACAAACGAGAGGCTGGAAAGGTCGCTGTTTTTAGAAAAGAACCCAGCACTTCAAATTTTGCTTTGAAATAGGTCCATAATTTTTAGGCGACAACCGTTCGCGCTCGATCTCGCTCGTCGCGAAGATCTCCTGCAAGAGCAAGAGCAGACAGAGGAGCAGGTATTGTTTGATTTTATTTGTGTAGCGATATTATTTAAAATACCCGTGCAATGTGTTCTGAGACATCGGAACAACTTTGATATTGAACTTTAATTGAGTTCGCGATAAGCTTCATCGCATCCTTTATGACAACTATTCCAAAAAAGGTTGCAGGGTTTGCTTTTTCGTTCGGCAATCCTTCGGAGAATTTCTAGAGGGTTGGCGCCTTAATTCATACTCACACCACTTTCAAGGAGCATCTTTGTTAGCGCAACTTTTCTCTAAAGTATATTTTTCAAATTTCCCGTTCATTGAGGCATATTGCACTGAGACTTAGGCACTTAGATCGGTGTAAGTTACCCACCTTAATGGGACTCGCCCTCTATCAACTAATGGCTTCATGAAAGAGTTCCCTATTGAAAGTAGAAATTAGCCGCTGCTAAAGAATACACCAGTGGGACGGAGAAACTTTTTTTTCCGCGACCGAAGGTTTAGGTGAGAAATGGGGAAAAAAGGGAAAATCAACCTTTTTAGGCAGCACATTTGAGGTATCGTTACAGGAGAACGTCGTCATCAAATAGGTTGACCATGGCTATTCCGACTGCATCCCACATTACAGCTTTAGATTGATCGAGCATCTCTTTTTAGGTGATCGCCCTAGCCGGCGTTCCCCTTCCCCGCGTCGCCGACGCGCATCTCCCTCTCCAAAGCGTCGCGATCGTAGTAGCAGCCGTGGTCGTCGTCGCTCTCCTCGCCGTTCGTCGCCACGTCGCGCATCTCCTCGCAGATCTCCTAAGAGGTCTTTTACTGATCTTTGATCACTAAAGTATTATTCTCATCGTGTTGCTCATTTTGAGATCTCCTCGCCGCGCCTCTCCAAGAAAAGCTAGTCCTTCCAAGCGTATTTCGGTCAGAAATCTTAGCCGAAACGTTACTAAGGTAACCCATATTTTTGTCCTATCTTTTGATCTTTGACAAATTAATGAATGAAATAAAGTGAAGCTAACACGAACGGTTGTAAGGAACTGAAACATTAGTATGATTAGGAACATCTGGCTGAAATCTTTGGAATGTATGGACTCATCAAAAGCTGCGATCTTCCACCGGAAAGGTTTTATTCACATCTTCACAGAGGCTACGGATACGTCGAGTACGAAAACGCCGAAGATGCCGAAAAGGTTGGATGCTTAATATCGCATAATGTTCAGTGGAAAGTAGTCGTCACTTCTGAAGTTCTCATTTTGATTCGCTGTGCGAAATACGCTTCTTCTCACCAAACCAAAAAGCAAGTGGATGTTTAGTTTATGACGTTATCCATTTCTAAACACTAGGTCAAAATCTTGTCAAATGTTGAAGTTTAAAGGGTGCTGAGGATTGGCTATAAACCACCACAAGACCACTTTTGGACATTTTTACCACTTCAGGGCGATAGTATCATTATCGTCGCCGCTTTATCCGGTGTGCCCTAGCTAAAACATTTATGAAAGCAGTTCTAATAGTACATCGTACTTCAAAAGCAATGTGTTTAGCAAACCTTCATTGGAAATGAAAGGTCGGATTTTTTGTCAAAGTAATGAATAATGTTCATCAACCTCTATTCTACATTTTAAATTACCTACTCTCAATAATCTGAAAATTCGAGACTTTGTAGACTTCATAAAACATAATAAAATATCCTCATTATACAACAGAAACGTTTCGCATGTGTTGCACCTCGCTATCGTACCCGAATTTTGTTGCCTTAGGCCAATTATCCAAATCGTCTAACAGGATGAAACCACTATGGTGAGTTTTAGAATACTTCTACCTGCATCCCCGATTAGCAGCCACTTGGAGGCAAGACGTATTGAATTGGGTTAGTCATTAAGTACGACATCATAAGGTCTTTATGATAGAATTGCAAAACTGGTGAAATAGTAGCTCGCGCGCTCGTTCATCGTTACTACATCACTTCGTCCCATTGTACGAATTGAACGTAACTAGATTGCATCACCACCTATTTTTTAGACTATATCCACCTTTCTGGCGCTGATCTGCTTCTGAAAAAAAATGTTGTTGCGTCTGATGTTTTTCTATAGTCATTAACTTCTCCGTTACCTCCCGGTAGACTGTAGGAATAAAGAAATATTTTCTTTAACTATAGAAGCGAGCTAAGTGATTGAGGGAATGGAAACAACCCGACAATTTCTGCTAAATTGCAACATACCGTAACGTATGAGCCTAGTAATGACACTAAACACAGAAGCCACAAAAATATGAACGTGAAAGCGAACACCATTGAGATGAAAATGGATTTCGAATTCGAATATGCGTAGCAATGTAGTGTAACAATACTGCTGTAAATGGATTATATGAAGGCTTCGGTACGTGCTCAGTCTAAGTGGAAGTGTTCATTTCGCCATTGTGTAAGTGATACTTAGCACCAACTCCGCCGATGAAAAGTTGTTTCAAATTCACGTTGCCTATACCGAACTGAAGTCGAAGTTCTTAACAAATGTGCGAACTGAAGCTGTTTAAAGCGCTTTAATCTACAGCATTTAATCGAATTGATCAATTAGTACCTCTTTTATCACTGTCTGTAAAATCCGATATTACCGAGTTGCTGCTAAAGCCTGCTTAATGCATGACAGAAACATTTGCATCTTAATCCCAGCTTTCTGGAGTAAATTTGTGGTGCATTTAAAGTTTTGGTGTAATTTGAAAAAGAAAATTCCATCGAGACGGAGGAAGCAGTGTTCTAAATTTAATTCATCTTTTCATATGAAAGTATTCCATGATCAGGAAATGGGCAGTCGCTGAGAGGGACCGGAAATTAGGCGCATTGCTGAAAGTAATATGGAGTAATCGAACTTTTCGTACAGCATTCATCGTAAAATTTTAGTTCAGCCCAGTGCACTTCCCTCCTCTAGCTCTGGGAAAAGTATAATTCGAATCATGTTGCAGGCTCTGAAGTACTTTGATGGAGGGCAAATTGATGGACAAGTGGTGAGTGTCGAATTGACGCTCAATCGCACTGCATCTCGTCGTTCGCCAGCACGTAAAAGTCCTAACAGAAGGAGGTACATTCGTTCAGCGCTTATTGGTTTTGGAGAAAATGCTTCTTTATTCAGTCCTTTGCGGAGACGTTCGCCAGCTGGACGTGATCGTGGGGGTGGAAATGCAAATATGATCCCCCTCGGCTCAAGCCGCTTCAATCGTAGCCGTTCTCGCTCACCTCGTAGGAGACGCAGCAGATCGTGAGCACGTGAGTTAAACCTAAATTCTATTCTTTTTAACCTTTTTAGGCTGTTCTTACCGAAACTTGTTCTATCTATCAGTATATCACCGGAAAGAGTCTGCAACCTCTCAAGGGATTATTTCGAATGCTGTTTACGTTTATGTAAAATAAGGCTGAGAAATGGTTTAACGCAAAAGTTATGAAGACCAGAATTTTGCTTGTCTATTGGAAATGCGCAGTCATAGCATCAGTATGAAGCGTCATCGTGGTGTAGTGGTAGGCAGAGGGTGCCGGTTTGCCACCCTCCAATTCCAAAAATTTTGCCTAGTTTTTTTTTTAATTAGCGGTTGGGGCTTCTCTTACGTATACCATTTTTGCACAACGTCGCAGTGATCATTAATATAACTTGTTTACCGTAATCAACGTTTTCGAACGCTGATCTCAAATCTACTTTCCAAGTCTGCAAAATGGTTTGGAAACAAAGTTACAAGACCCTCCTCTCTCACCCCTCTGTTGTTGCCCTGTGATGCGAGGTTAAGCGGACCGAGTTCTGCCCTCGCTGTGAGGTGGTGATGCGGTGAATTTACTTTAGTGACATGGAGTTTCGGGTTCTTGTTGTATGAGTCATTTCCTAAACGCTTGCAAAGTGCTTTTCACCCCATGTTCACTATATGGTCCTCCCTCTCATTTGAGGAACATGGAAATGTAATTCATGAAAGATTTTCCTTCTTTTCCTAAAAATTATGCACAACTATCTTATGAATATTCAAGATCCTAAACGCTTGCAAAGTGCTTTTCACCTCATGTTCACTATATGGCCCTCCCTCTCATTTAAGGAACACTGGAAATGTAATTCATGAAAGATTTTTCCTCCTTTGCCTAAAAACTATGCACTTCCTTATGAACATTCAAGATGGTGCTAAGAAATTTTAGCCGACATCTATGCATTTTGACTGAGAACGATCGAATAGCTCATCTGGGAATGGTGCGTTCTAATAGAGGTAACGTCCTCACCTCTGAGGTGTTGTGGCTCACGTGAATTTAATGTGATTATCCAATAATTGTCGAGGAACACTTTGAGATAAAAGTGGTGAGAGCGGGGACACGATACCGCAGCTCGGCTTAAAGCTCTGAATCCATTCACGGCTTACTTCGAAGTTTTAGATTGTGATCCCTCCTTGTTGACTTTCAACGCCATACGATGGATATTGCTGTCGTATAATGGATTCCCATATGAATTTTTGCGATAACTTCTTTGAGCATATAGGCTAGTCTTCAAAGCAAGGCAGATGATCTGGTCGTTTAGTATCTAATAGTTACCCCCCATACGGCACTATAAACGATCAAAAATAGACTATTTCAAGAACTTACAACCTAAGTTCCCTTAGTCTCCGGAGGTGATATTCAGTAATGATGAAAAGAGATAGGTTTTCTATGCACGCGGTGCGTTTTTTTTTTAAGCTTCGAACAATGAAAGTCAATGGGTCCTCTACATGCCCCGTAGAAGTGAAGGTAACGGACAAACTCCTCTCTGCTGAATTTGAACTGTCCTCTCTGTCGATTTGTAGAGGCAAGAAAGAACTCTCTTCGGGTAATAATTTCTGGTGTTCTCCAAATGTGCGGGAGGGTTGTAGATAGTCTACAAGAGGTGTAAAAGAGTTCTGCAAGAGTCATTTTCATTCTGAAACCAGCGTATGCAACGAAGTTCAAAACCTTCATGTCATGCCTAACGGTCCATCATCCTGACTGGGTCATATTGCATAATCGAGGCTATGGTCAATTCGCTTATCCGTGCAAAACAACGGAGTAACACTGAGGGGAAAACGGTTTCGTAATCGGGCTTCCAGAATCTTGGCGACCAAGTAATCTTTTCTTATTAGTGCTCGCTGATTTCTCATCAATGTTTCTTCGATCGCATCGTTATGATTGGAATGATGACTTTTATAAATAGTAAATCGTTCCCCTGTCTCACCGGCATTCCTAAGCCTGACGGGTTTTTCGCTTGTAATCAGTGTTGCGGGTAAGAACGAATCATTCGGTATGTCACACCCAACGCAGCGACGATAGCCTTAATGCAACAATTGGACAAAATAATGTTTTGGTGCTTAATTCAGTCTTCGCCACAGTATTTAGAAACTGATGATATTGAAATAATTTAAGCATTACAATCGTATTTATTTTTGTGACATCTTTATAGTGATAAGAATGTGGTACCTGTTGCCGCTGAATCATACGTAATTGTAACTTTTTGACTTTTTCAGGGCTGTTTCTATGACGTGCTCTCAAGAGGTTTTGTCATCGGAGTCCTTCCCGTCGACGTTAATTTTCTTAATTCTCATGTATTTGATGTTATTGTTATTTTTCCAAGATCTCCGTTATGCGTTTGGAACAAGATTCATTGTTGGAGGTGAAATAAATAACGTCGAAGAACGATGTAGAAGCGTGCGGCAGTGGTAGGTGAATTGTGCTTAATTGTAAAGCGAAGTCCAACCTCCTAAACCCTTGCAAAAACATCCATCCATTCCCCTTAATCAATAAGGAAACATTCATTTATGCGATAGGTAGGTAACCTAGCATCTGTGTACAATAGGCCGCCTGGCTTTGCTTGAACGACGTGTCGGAAAGCTTGTCCAAGCCGTTCATATCCTTGATATCCTGATCGACGATGAACGTTAAGCCTGATTTTGAAGAAATGAACTCTGGATAGGTCTGGGAACTTAGCTCGTTAGCCAACGCACTTTTTAAAGGCACTGTTAACAAAAAAGTAAGGGTACCCTTTTTTTGACGGTAATAGGTAGAACTACTTCAGAATAAAGCGATAACAACGAAAAAGCGCAAAAAAAACGAGCAACAAAAAGTATTACAAAGGGACAAAAAAGTGCTAGAAAGTGGGGTTGGACATCTTTCACATTGGAAAACGGCGGTTAGGGAGTGTTCGAGCGAGAATGCACGAAGGCGACGCAGTGTCTGCAATACAGACAACACATCGAATTTAACGGAGTTTCTTAAATAAAAAAACATTTGCATGCAATAATCTACACAAAATATGTTAAAATCTTCAATAAATTTACGAGAATAGTTAAAGAATGCTACCGTAAAAAATTCATAACAAAAAAAAACAATAGAAATACAAACATAAAATAGAAATAACAGTTGAATACTAGCTCCTGTACGAGGCGGTCGACCAGCTGATCATTCCTGGCTATTTGCCAATCTGCGTATCGATTTTTCACCAGCTTCGCTCCAGTGCGAACGTGGTGAATGACAATTTGAACACGTAGTCAGCCTAACGAGGG